GATTGGTTGAACTTAGAAATTCTGGATGGAATATGACCTGTTTAAGAGGAACAGACAAGTGAAAAACAAATCCAGTGAACTACGACTGAACAAAATATGACACCATCATTCAAACACCTCTCTAGAGTATTGCAACATTAAAAGTCATTCATCCATTCGGGAATGCCAATGCAAAAGTCCCCCTGTTCTTTAGCGAGCTCAGGACAAAGCACAACGCTAAATCATGCTTAATGGAAACAAGTCGTAAAAACTGTCACTCACAGAAATGAAAAGGTTGGCTTTAGAATGAACAGTTTTATCAGGGTAAGTGAAACCACCTCGAACCCTATCATTCGAACGAAGGCTACTGGGAAATGACAACTTCAGAAAGATCACGATTTATTAAGAAATAAAATCAACTGCGACACAACCCGGTGACCGCTTTTTATTTTTATTTAGATGAAATCAACGAAGAGCGGGCCACAAATGCCTGATGTAGTCGACTCTTGTCACCTCTGTCAACGATACCTCTTGGATGCGAGCTTAGGTCGACTCAGAACAACCAGTACTTTACTACCCTTTTGCATCCTAAAACAATACACACAGCAAATCGGGAAAGATTTCATGGTACTTGTTGATCAATCAAACAACATGGAGGCCAAGTATCACCAAGGTTGAAAGGTGATGACAGGGTTTGAACTCCGGACCTTTAAATCTACTGCACGTCAGTAACAGTGGTTTATAGCACCTGAACACCACAACCATAGGCTACACAGACATGGAATAGGTGAAACCTAAAATGAATAGTTTTCAGCGTTTATTTCCGGTCTGATTGGTACCATAAGCCAAAGCTTGAAGCAAGGACACAAAAGGGGACCGGTGGACAACCTATGTGCATGATGTGGTTGGTAAGATTCACAAACAGGCGCTTTGCACTGGATATCCGCATTCCATGGTGCAACCGACCAGTCATGTAAAACGGGGGTGGCCATTCGCGTAGGCGATTGTGCTAAAATCGAACGCGTTATTAGCTATTTCTGGAACGCAAGGAAGAAATATGCATAGTGTCAAAGAAACATCTGATTCCGGTTAAATTAGGGACGCTGCTTCAAACGGGATAAATAGCTGTGACTATTTTCTGTCCTTATTTCAGGACAATTTTCTTCACAGAAAGTAACGAAGATGGGAACCACGGAATGAAAACCACCAGCTCAACGTATTTCTAGTCAAAAGAAGGTAAGTATGAATTGGACGAAGTACAGTGGCTTTTATAGATTATCTTTAACAGAGTCACGTATACCTGGACAGAAATAACGCTTTTCAATTTCATCTCTCCATTTGAGTTTTCTTGAAAGCGAGTAAATTTGCTTCTGTTAATATGAGAAGCCGTACCACAAGCGTCATTTTACCGATCCGTCGAGTTTGAGGTTGCTCAGACAAAGTCGAGTGCAGAACTTCTGACTGGAGTTAGTAGGGAGCATGGGTTTTTTTCTTTCGTTGGCCTCGGACCAAATTCAAAGACTTACTATCATTCAGAATGGCATACGAACAGGCTTAAATTGGTAATTCTGGTCATTCCCCGTATCAACGGACTGGTACAGTTAGTTCAATCCAGGTCACTCAACGCACACCACTACTCAAAAATAACCGTAAATATGAGAGCTCAGTATGACAGAAAAGAAAATTAACCGACCGGTTACTGAAAAATACTTTACTATTTTCAAAACGTACCTTAACTCGATCGTGACGATCGTTAAACAAACGACAGCGGCGCAAATTACACAACACCAGGTCAATATTGTCTTGCACCACGTTGTGTGTACAGATTGGAGGGAGGTTGTTTCGTTGAGCAGCATAGATACAGCGTTTCAAGCGATAGACATCTTCCTGTCAAGTTGAAAAATAGTGCGATTAATGTTACTCTATGTGAAGAATATACAACGTTAGTTATTGCAAAAGGATAAAGGCAGATTTTAGGGAAGAGATAAAATCTACTCTGTGTGACACTTTTCCGGGGAAACAGGCACCGAATGAACAAAATTAGTACTCCCGTAATTCCTGATAAAGAGAAACGTTTTACAACAAAAACTCAAATCAAGGAACAGAGTCGATACATCAAACCCTCGGTTCAGTATGACGCATCGTGTGATCAGGATGATTAGCAACCTAAACTATTGTGGTTATACAATGACATACTGAAATCAAGCATCATTCAACTGAGAGAAAATGGGCACTTGAAATGGAGGATTCAGTATTTATAACAGAAGGCACGACGAAGCTGAGTTAATTCACTTTATTTAAATTATTCACGCTAGACATCATGATAACAGGAATACTAAG